TTAAAGGCATCCTTGGCTCCTTTTTCTGTTGCCTAATTGCTGCTGCTTCTATGAAGCAAATGAAAGTTGCTAAGTGCTATGAAGTGATCAGTGTAAAAGGACTTAGTTTATGTGATTAATTTCTTCTGAAGCACGGACCACGTTTTCACTCGTCAGTTTTTTATATTTTGGTTTCATAAATTTGATTAGTTGTTGAAATATATATTAAATAGTACCATTGAAATTTTTAACTGGCTATGTTGCTAGGAGAAATGAACTAATACTTGCTGAAATCTACCTAAATTTACTAGGCTTATTGAATTATGCTTGTTCGATTGCACATGCATGGAATTTTATTTAAGATATGATTCACGTGTTGCCTAAATATGTCTAAAACATTATTTCTCTATCATACCATATATATCTTTGGGTTCATTTTCCTGTTTATGCTTATCTGCTGTGTGTGTCACCCATGAACGTCTAACGGAATAGTGTAAATTAATTTGGTATAATTTGTTGACTTATTATTATTTTTTTGTTTTCTGCTTCTTTGTCACTATAAATTCTTCATCTTAAAATTAAAGAAAAAACTTATTGTCTATGGCAATTACTCAATTGTAGCTATACTTTTACATTATTTTTTTGCATGAATTATGTTTGTCATTACCATCTCTCTTGCCCATATGCGTACATGTTGAGCCTGTTCATGAATAGCACACCGCCTGAAGTTAGCGCTAATGCTAATTGTCGATGGAGTGCTTCACTTCTGTCCCCTGTTCATTTACTCTTTATGGTCTAACCATTTCATCTTATGGAACTTTAATGATTTTTTGTTCCTATTTATCTTGTAGGTTGCTCGGTTTGATATTCAGTTCTAAAAGATTTTCTTTTCAAGATAAGTGGGTTTAAAACTGAACTTGAAAGTTGGTGATCCTGTATCAGTGATAGGAGTAAGCAGTTGCAAGGTCAGAAAGTTGTGAAACTGCTTTGGGTTGCTTCCTCATGATCTTTGTTCAAGGATCTAATTGATCTCCCTAGTGATCTTATATGTTTATTTTGGAGTCAATAAGAGCACTCCATTATTGCTGTCAAATATACTCTGCTTGTTTTGAGTTGCCAAATAGGAATACTGTACTCAATAGANCTAGTGATCTTATTTGTTTATTTTGGAGTCAATAAGAGCACTCCATTATTGCTGTCAAATATTCTCTGCTTGGTTTGAGTTGCCTAATAGGAATACTGTACTCAATAGAGAATTTCCTTGCGTCAATGCTGGCTGAGAGCATGCGTGGAATCCGTGCTTTGGGTAATGCCCATTACAAGAGTTGTTGCTGATGCACTTGGTGTGGTGACAATTTGTCTTGTTGCTGTTCTGGTCCTTCTGGGTCTGTTTTGCACTGTGTATGTACTTTACTTCCGCAATCAGATACGTAGTCAAGGTCTTATTCGGTTCAATTATTTTAGTGGTCCTTGGATTATCAGAATTGCATTAATCTCTTTCACAATCTGGTGGGGTGTTTGGGAGATTATTAGGCTGAATCTGTTGAGACATGAAGGAAGAATCTTGGGTGCCCTCAACTCAAAATGGCAGGAAACTGTTTGCAAATGCTACATCATTTCAAACCTGGGGTTTGCAGAGCCATGCCTTCTTCTCACCCTTGTATTTCTACTTCATGCATCATTACAGAGGTCTGGGACATTAAGCAGAAAGTGGAATGCAAGAACAGCCGGTTGTGTTATTCTTTATTGTCTCCCAATGTTCATTCTTCAGCTCATAGTTATATTAATTGAGCCGAAGTATAGCAAGAACAGTTCCATGAACAAACTGCCTCCATATTTCTTCAAAACTGCTTCCAAGACAAATGACAATGCTACCCTCTGCACTTACCCTCTGTCGAGCACTATCATACTTGGTCTTTTTGGTACTGTACTTATCACATACTTGTTCTGGGTTGGGAGGCGAATTCTTCATTTGGTCATCAATAAGGGTTTGCAGAAGCGAGTGTACACGTTAGTCTTTTCTATTTCTGTTCTTTTTCTCTTAAGAGTACTTCTTCTCGGTCTATCGGTTCTATCTGAGCCAGAAAATCTTTTGTTTGATGCCATTGCATTTTTGGCTTTTCTCTCTCTTCTATCTTGTGCTGGAGTTGGAATCTGTGTACTGGTGTACCTTCCAGTTGTGGATTCTTTAGCTGTGAGGAGTTTTCAAACTGATGCAGAGGCTAGATGTAACGATGAGTACAATGATTCCATTTCACTAATTCCTCCTACTGATAGACCTCGTGAAGAAAGTTCACTAATTCCTCCTACCGATAGACCTCGTGAAGAAAGTTCAATAATTAGTCCCGGGAGAAACTCGGTTGATTCTCCAAACCGTAGATCAATTTCTTTTCGCACAATGGAAAAGGATGAAACTTCCAGAGCTTTTGTGGAACTGAGTGTCTACACTCCCAGTCAGCATTCAACCCCTCCTGAGTTTGGCTAGACTTCATGGCTGGCCTATGCTCCCTCCTGGGAGGTCATGGTGGCACCATTTTCATGGTGAACTAGAATTGTTTGTAAAGAGTTTACATTTTAATAAGAATTTGCCGATTTAAGTTTTGTTTTTGAAGTAGTTTTCCTGTTACCCCACCTTATTTTTTTTGGTGGAACTCTTAATTTGTATCTCTTAGATTTTGCAGCTACAACAGTTTTATCGGGATTCTATGATAATGTCTGATATATTGAACCGAAGTTTGAGCACTATGGAATAGACCTTCTTGGCCGTGCCGGAATTTTAGATGTAGCTGAGGAAATTGTAGCTACCATTCCTAATAAAGATGAAATCATTATAGTCCAACTATAGGGTTCTTTACTCGGTGCTTGCAGGAACTGAGGTAATGTTGATCTGGGTCAAAGCATTGTCCATCCGCTAAAGAAAATCGAGGATTCTAGCGCTCATACACTTCTCAAGTTAATATTTGTGCATCTGCCAATGGTAACACAAGTCCGAAGGAAAATGAGAACTATCGGGGCCAAGATGTACCCTGGATGCATTTTAATCGAGGTTAAAGGGAATGTCATTGAATCGATAGCTGAATTTCTAACTGTGTATCTAAGAGCCTGTTAGATGGGCCATTTTTTCCATGGAAATGAAAATGGAATTCCATCTTTTTCCAAAATGAGTGTTTGATTGACATAATTTTCTTGCTTTTGTCTCACATACGCGCCAATTCAATGATTTTCCAGTTTACTATATTTTAATTTTTTTTTTTTTTTGGTAATGGAAACAAATTTTATCCCTTCAATTGACAATTTTTATATAAAACAAAATCAAACAAATATCGAAAGATTCAAAATTTCAATATTTTTCACGTGGAAAATTATACTAATCAAGTACAATTAATTGACAATTCTCTGAAATTTATTTTCTTCTTGCTCAAATTTCACTCTTACAATCAAATTGATCCTAAGTATATAATCAACTTTTCCAAATACGTGATAATTAAAAATCTTATTGGAATAAATAATTGATTTTCAAAAAAAATAAAAAAAAGGTATATATTTTTTATTTTAAACAGAGAAAACACTTGCGAAAATTTCTAAATTCAGGCATTTCAATGATTCCACATGGCGGTCAAAGTCAGCGTCACGAGGTACTCCGGAGAATCATCGACAAAAGGGCCCTCTGGGGACCAGTCAAAAAACCAAGGGCATGATCGTTATTTCAAAATAATTCATTGACCCGTGACGCCGCCACAAATACACGTTCCTTTACTAGTCTGCGTGGACCGCCTCCTGCAATAAAATAAGGCCCAAAACAGAAGCCCTAGAAAGTTCTTCATAACTCCTTTTGTTCTTGAATTTCAGATTACTGGCAATATTGTAAAGATCTCGTTTGGTTGATTAATTTGCTTGAGAGAAATATGGCGTCATTCAATGAAGCACCTCCCGGAAATGTTAAATCCGGTGAGAAGATCTTCAAGACCAAATGCGCTCAGTGCCACACCGTTGAGAAAGGCGCTGGCCACAAACAAGGTCCTTCTCTGCCCCCAATATTTTTCTTAATTTTGAAAATAATGTATTATTTTTTTCGAGTATATGGATCTGCATGGTCTGCGCTGTAAAGTTATCGATCGGATTTCATTCCATGTTTCCGAATTTGTTGTTCTTGAAATGTGTTAATGTTTTATTATTAGATTAATTTGTTAAATTATTTTGCAAGTACAGAAAAAACAGACAGCAACTGTACAGGTGCAACGCAGCACCTGTATGGCTGCTTTTTTTTTTTTTTGTATTTTTATCTATCTTCCAATAATCTGCCAAGTGTATCTGTATGATTTCTGTGAAAAAAATTCTGTACCTATAGCATTGTTGTAATTTGTTTTTGAATTTTTGGAGGAATTAAGCCAAATGTACAGTGAACCCCTACACTCAACAAAAAAGTAAAAAAAATAAAATTACCCACCCCCCTACGTGTGACTTATCAGAACCCCCACCCTGTGCATGAAGCATGATTGTTTTTGGAGTGAGTTGGAGTATATTAGATATTGGTTTTAGTGAAAGGAAATAGAAAATTTATCAGCTGAAGCACTGCTAGAGTTCAATACTCTCATTCTTGGCCTCTGATTTATTATTATTTGAACTGTATTGTTATGTTACGGGGAATATAGATCTGATAATCTTGACAAGAGAGAAGTTCAGCTTATCTGTAACTTGGTTATTTTACTCTAGCAATTCTGGATTATGTTTTAAATACATGTACTGGAAAATTTGTAATTTTGCTGAGTAAACCAATTGGCTATTTTGACGAAATTGGCTCAATGCATATTGAAGTTACCATCTATATGCAAAAGGACCGTTAACTTGATATTTCACTCTACTTGTGTTAATGTCTTTTTACTTGATTTTGGGTTAAAAATCTAGGAAATGTGTACTTTAGACTCACGATTCCATGTTCAATGTGCTAAATAGATCTGTGAACTCTCGAGTTTTACATTAATCAAGGTCTCCATAAATCCACCTTACATCCTGGATATATTTTGAGTTTAACAAATATGTTTTTGTCTAGATGACTGGAGAAATAATGTTGAATACTCCTTGAGTTTAAATGACAATCAATTATTGGTTGTATTTTCTTTAATTATTCACCTTACATCATGGATATATTTTGAGTTTAACAAATATGTTTTTGTTTAGATGACTGGAGAAATAATGTTGAATACTCCTTGAGTTTAAACGACAATCAATTATTGGCTGTATTTTCTTTAATTATTCTTTGTTTCAATATCTAAGGCTTTTTTATTAGGCAATAGGTGGAGTATTGTTAACTTTCTCCTAGTTGGCTCATTGCCCGCCATCAATTGTTGGCTGCTTATTTACATATGCGTGCTTGCAGTGAGATTACTGTCGTGGAATGATATTTGGCCCTCCTTGTACTGTTATTATGTTGTACAGAAATTTTGTTATATTCTGGCTCACTCCCTTTGTTTGTGTCTTGTCTGTTGACGATTTCTCATGCTTCTGAATCTCCAGGTCCCAACTTGAGTGGCCTCTTTGGAAGGCAATCTGGCACTACCCCTGGTTACTCTTACTCTGCTGCCAACAAGAACATGGCTGTGAACTGGGGAGAGAATACTCTTTATGATTATTTGCTTAATCCTAAGAAGGTTAGTGAACATCTAAGTTTTTATTAAATTCAATTGGTTATCTAAAATGGAGATAATTTGCAAGTTGCAACAAATGTTTTACTGAAAACATTCACAGGAGTAACACTCTCTCTACCTGCCCTAGTATGAAAAATTAAAATCTTGAAAGAAAAGCATCTGAAGTGCATTTTCTTTGTTTTGAATATGACCTCTATCTTAAATAGGATATCTGATTCCATAATTTGGAGAAAGGATAAAACTTGATGTGAGAAGACCTTGCTTCTAAATGCTATAGAAAATATTTTCTGTTGTATGGACAATGCCCTCGGATTACATAATTTATAGAATATTCTAATATTTACAAGAATACAAATATGTAACCACAATACAATTATTAGGTAAATGAATGGCCTTTGGTTAAAGTTACAGATCATGAGCATTTTGTGCTAGAGAAAATATGAATGTTAATAAAAAGGAACTATAAGACTTGTATTGTCAAACTGCAATTTTCTAATTGAAAATACGACTGTCACATTGTAAGTACATAGCAATGAATTCACGATTATGAAAATAAATTGGACTAATTTTGCAAATTGCAAAATAATGATAAGCATCAAAAGAAGAAGGCATCCTAATGAAATATGATATTTACTGTTTCCGATGTGGGTGGCATTTTAACCAGAACTGACGCCTCCATGTCCGGTTCCTAGAATTATATTAAACCGAATGGTTCCATTTACATATACTAGTTTAATGGGTGGTTCCAGTTCTTAAAAAATCGAACCTAATGCCCACCCCTATATTTCGTTGTTAATAAGTTTTAAGCCCCTTTTTCCCCCTCCCATCCACCAAAAAAAAAAAGAAAAGACGAGCAATCAAAATTATTAACGAAGTTGGTGAAAAAATTTGGTATACCAAGTTTTAAAGGAGAACAGTGCAAGGTTTGATAGGACCATTTGAAGTTTATGAGAAATAACTTGAACTTAACCTCATTATTTTTTCCCCTAAACATTGCTATGTTAGAACTTAATGTTTCTATTTACTAATTACCGAATTTTAATGGGTGCTTCCCGTTCTTGAAATACCCGGACTGGACCCCTCCCCCTCCCCATCCCCACCCTGACACCCCAACCCTTGTTTGTGAAATAATGGTTCATAAAATGTAATGTTAATAATTAGTTTATGTGAAATGCAATTACATTAAATAAATGAGATTTTCTGTGTGAAATGTAATTACACCATGTATACGAGTATTGTTTTGTAAATTAATATGCACTATATTGTCCAAAGTCGAATACTATTTTAATCCAGTTAATGGACGTCGATGGATTGAAAAAAATTTAAAACCCATTCTGAAGTCCAAACCAACCTATTTAAAACAAAATCATAGAGGAACATCCTATGTGTAGTTACACTCGGTACAAGTTTGTAGGACTTCAAAAGTGATTTTACATAATGGAAGTTCCAAGATAGTTGGGGCTTGTGTTGCATAGACCAAAAGAGATTGTTATCTCGTGAGTGATGCAATAAGGTGGAACACATTATAAGTGGAATTAGTAGACCAAGATTAATATGGCAATATGTGTTGGCAAAATATTTGGTTTCAATGACTTTTTTTTTTCCACAGTAGATGAAGCATTGTATTGAATGAAGTGGTGAAAAATAATTAGTTTGGTTGATCCCAAGTTTATAGGAATAAGGCTTAGATCAATATATGGTAAGATATCATCTGCTTTTCTTTGTTTCCTTCCATCGCATCTTAACTCGTATTTAAAAGACACCTTCCTCTTTTTTCCTTTTGCGTTTAATATATTTTATGCATATATTGGGAACTGTAGTTGAGGGATGGCTGATCTTC